CTTTGTAGGTAGATCCTGGAGCCTGTTTCTTGAAGTTTCTGTTAAGTTAACTGGCTTGTAAAGCTGTTCTGTTTTCATTCAAGACAAGGGTTTCAAAAGTTTTGAAAACCATACAATAAACCTAACAGCCAAAGAAACAAACTGGATTGGTTAGGGTGCCAGAACCTGCCTTTAATTCTATTTTTTAAAATTTGGTATAAAAATATGGCTTTGGGCTCATTAAGTTACTCGGACTCTCAAGAAACAGGCCCCTGATGAACACAAACAAACCTGACAAAGTGGAACATTTTTTGGCAGTTTCTTGGCAATATCTTCCAGCCATTTAAGAGGTTTCCTTAAAGGTGTAAAGTCTGCCACAACACCACCAATTTCTTTGGATTTCACAAAATCTGGAAGGACCTTGTCTGGTTCACCAAGAAGCACGTGGAAAGCAATATTCAACTCTGTCAGCTCCTAGAATGAAATACCATAAGTGGTAAGAATAAAATAGTACTTCAGTTACATCTGAAGGTCATATTAAAAGGAGTGCCCTGGGGAGAGGTTAACTTGTGAAGGAAAGGGAATAATTACTGTTATCACAGAACTGAGATGGCCCTGTATGCCCTTTTATTGACAAATATTACTAAAAAATCCCAGTGCAAGGCACAAGCAGGGCTGTAAAAAGCTGCAGAGCTCTATGTACCGCCCCATGAGATGCAAATTCCAAGAAGACAGGAAGAAAGAGAAAGAGAAGGAGCAGTGATCGCACAACAAAATGCTCTGACTTACTGATTGTGATGTCAGGCTGACAAGAATAGATTTGGCTCTAGGTGATAATGTACTGACTTTGCTGCCTTGGTTGATGAAAGTCAAAAAGTACTCATTTCTTCCTTACAAGTACTCTACTCAGATAAATACACCATGTCAGTTTAAGTCCAAGCCTTAGCAGGAAGCTTTGAGGCAGTACACTATGGCTCAAAAAACCAAGTAGGTTTTGATGACTTGGATATAGCTTGTATCAATCACAAATAAATACCAAAATGTTCTTTGAGTTTGTTTCAGTGCTTTGCAACTTGTTTAGCTATGGATATTTCAAGATTAAGAAGGAGGTTAAGGAAACTACTAAGGCTTTTTCACTTCTCTGATACTTTTTGCCAACTTCCTTCCATCCAAATTATCAAAAATATTAACCATATTCCAATTCTAAGAAATTCATTAGCTCACAACCTCTTAGTTAATTTGACATGATTGTTGATGATCCTGTCTTTAACAACAATCCCTTCCAGGATAACCTTCAAACAGACAGTCACAAGACAAGATTCACAAAATAAATTACGACCTACAGGTAACTGAATTTTCCTCGAGGAGAATGAACATTAACAATGTGGGTAGGTTGAATTTCAACCATTTCATCCTTTACTAATTACCTTTTCCACTTCCTGTAGACCTTTGATCATAAAGTTGTACTGCCTGTATGCAGCATCAAGGTAATTAGATGGCATACAGAAGATGACAATGAGAGGTACTTGTTGTTTCAGTGCCATTCTCTGGGCATAGAGCATGGCCCAATTGTCTGTAAATAGTAAAAAAAGTTTCATCTTAGGAACTGGATGAAATCAAGGGAAGTTGCAACTTCTCATTGATACATAAAACAGTTAACCATATCTCTAATTAAAGCCCCCTAAATTCAAAAGTTTGTTTGAATCAAAATCTTCCCTCTCTAATTGAACCCAAATATATGATAAATATCTAACTAACCTCATTTTCTCAGTTTATTTATTTATTTATTAGCAATATTTATGCTAGCTGTTCCAGTTCAGTTTCAAGCTGGTTTAAATGGGGGCCTGTCCACACAGTAACTTACAGAACCTTGTAGCAAAAACTTGGCCCATAACTCACAGTTCAAACAGCGAAAATTAGGTATGTACAGTATGAGCTAGACAGAATGCTTTAAGGGAACTCAAGCAGAACTACCCCAACAAAAGAACTTTATCTAAGGTAAAAGCAGTATGAAAGGAGTAAAACTAGCTTTGTGACTTTCTATTAGATCGATGCCAGGTAACAAAGAAGGATACTCATAGGCGACAAAAATTGGCTATAGAGACACCCTTTTTTTTTTTTTTTTTTTTTTTTTTTGGGAGGAAAATCAGGTTGAGTTTATTTTCCAATTGCCATGAGTAAGAATTAAAAGGTGTTTGATAGACTCTTTTAGAAGAAAAAAAAAATTTGTTTAGCATACAATCTTTGGATGGATAAGACCTTTGTTTTCTCTTCATTCTCTCCTGTTTCACTCAATCACATTTTGAGAAACGCATTCCCCAGCGTCTTCTTATCATTAATGTTGGGAGGCTGTGATAAGTTTGAATACAGGAGTACCGTTTGATTAAGTTAAGTGTTTATTTGAATAAGAAAAGTCCTGAAAAGGGCTGCTGTCGCTGACAGTGTCGGTCACTTTGAAAATCAGGCAAGGCAATGGCATAATAATCAGGAATGTAATCTTTATCACCCCTACTCTGTTAGAGACTTCAGCTTTGTATTGGAAATGTCAATGTCAACGACAACAGTACTTTCAGGATAATTCTTCCTTGAAAGATCACATCATAACATCAAAAATTAATTATTCTAATCTGCTCCAGACACGAAGCGAATGAAATTTCGCTTTAAATATCCTAGGTGTTACGTAATGGTTCAGAACCACAGTTTACTGCGAAGACAACTGAGAGGCGATTCAGAGTTATTGATCGGCTGGTTCTCCCAAAAATCAAAATCATGAGAAAATGTTTACTATCATTAACCTTTGAAATTAACTGGTTTGAGTTGATGCTACTGTTCAGTGAGAGGTAACGAAATCGAGAATATTTCCACAAACTAAGAGTCGTAGTTTACCTTGAACTCGCTGCTCCCTCCACATCCAGTAGGCGATTCCTTTACAAGAATCTGGCATGTCTGTATTCGATGATATAAGTCGTACTCTCTTCTTATTGAATTTGAATTCTGCTACAGATTTGCAAACGTTCTTCCTTTTCTCCATAAATTTTGCCAGAGTGGTTTGTTCTGTGCTATTGTTGTGGTTTGTTTCAGCGATTTCCTTCTTCATCCTTTTCGACGGAGGTTCGTTCGCCATGCTTACAAGTCTCAGAGTTTTCCAAGCTAAACCTGGATGAAAGGGACGAAGAACATACGAGTCAAGAGTTCGGAAAGAAAGACGGAAATTTGCGACAACTGCAGATGGCGTTGCAAACGAAAGATGCATCTAAATAACAACACCTTGTAATGGAATTGATTCCCGCGCTTTCATCAGTCGCATACGGCACGAATGGCACGTGACTACAAAATAATTCTCCCCGGGTGGGGTAGAGAATCTAGACGTTCTTATCGACGACAGCTTCACTGACTAGTCTCTCAAATATCCCGTGGTGTGAGGAAGGGATGGGGGAGGGGGGGGGGGGGGGGAGAGAGAGGGAGGGAAAATACGATTCATTCAGCAAATTATATGAACTGCGGCATACCAACCTCAGGAAGCCTCGTTTGGCATAATACTGAGAAAACATTGAAACAAACTATCAAGGACCGAGACCGAACATACTGGGTTCACATTTTCATCGAGGCTAATCAGACAGGAACCAACTACTTAGAGGGTACTTAATGGCTCCTGGTTCAGAAAGATACTGTATTCCCCTGCCTATTAGTGGTGTGAATTTTCTACGATATACTCAGCTCTGTTATTCAGAAACCAAAACATGTGGAAAGAACGTTCACAGGTAATGGACACCTGAAGTTCACGAAAGAAATAACTCGAGTTATGGGCAAGTGATTTTTTTAAATCACTTTCTGAAATACTAAATAATACTCTGAAGCCTCTCCCCCTCTGAAAATCCTCCTTTCCAATAAACCTCCCTCTCTGATAGGCCTCCAACTGTAAATATCTTCCTTCTATAAGAGGCCCCTCTCTAATCAGCCCCGCTCTCTAAAAAGCCCCCCCGTCTCTAATAAAACTCCGTCTAAAAATTACCCCTCTCATATAAAACCCCCAAATAAACCCCAAATAAGCCCCCTATCTTATAAATCCACCTCTCTAAAAAGCACCCTTCTCTAATAGGCCCCCCTTCTATCTTATAAAACCTCCTTTCCAATGAGCACCTCTCTCTTATAAACCTCCCTCTCTAAAATTGACCCCTCTCTAATAAACCCATCTCCAAGAGGCCCCCTGCTCTGAGAAGTCTCTCTATATATTAGCCCCCTCTCTATTGTGCCCCCGCTCTTTGAAAACCCTCTCTCTTTGATTAGCTCCCTTCAATAAACCTCCATCTGAAAGCCCTTGGAATGACAAATCAGGCTCTTAGTTTAATATAACTGTTTAAGATATCTTGGATTTTGTTCCTTAACGTTTCATATAATCAAACAATTTCTCGTCCTACAAGCAATATTATTGTTGAATACAACAAAACTTGTATTGAGCAAAGCAACAATTTCGATACGATCGACTTGCGAATAACCATCAGCGAACGACCAATCAGAAAAGAGGATTATATTGAGAAGGCTCATGGCAGGTCTCCACTTCTTTCACAACTTGTAAAATGTATCCTTCACGACCGATAACATACACATGTCTTTGAACAATAAAAAACTTTACATTAGTCGGTATTATGTACAGAAAACGAAATTATTTCAGTTACATTAAGTTATTTATAACAGCAAATCTCCGGATCACATTCAGTCTTACAAAGCTCAAACCGTAAGCCTTGCCTTGTTAAGACGGATTATTTTATGTATGTAACTTTGCATAAAGTAAGCTAGCAGATAGTGAAATATCAATTCCAGAAAGAAAACAAGATTAGTGTTAACTTGAATGAAATGCGGAATAATACCACTAATAAGTAAAGTATACCGCAGTGGGAATAGGTCACCATAGTGATGTCTGGGCCCGTGGGCACAGATAATTGAGACCTAACTTAGCGAGACAAGTATCGGACAATAGCCTCTCGCACCTTTGTTCCAATATTTGGACCTCAATTACCCTTGAAACAAATGGCTGACAGCCTAAATTACCTCCGATCCAAACACGGTTGGGCGCAAACAAATCGTTTTGTGCTAAGATGGTTCAATTTAAACGAGGCGCCCAAAGCAGCGAGAGAAACGGGCATGACGAGTACTGTGTCACGGAGGCCGCCTATCTCCGCAAAGCCGAAGCGCTCACAAAGAGCGGCTTTGAAGACAAAAAGAAGGTCCCTTGCTATGGGCGTTACCAAGAAAGGTACAGAGAATGAGAAAGGATTAGATGCAGTCCGGAACACAGAAATGCAAGAACACGCCGCGGTAACTGTGAATTTAATTTCAACAAGAGCGGTAAACAGTGATGAAGAAATGGAAGAAATCGGCGAGGACCCAGAGGGGGAAGAACGGGAAGCCGCCGGTGGAGATGACGAAGAAAACGAAGATCAGGACCACAGCGATGTTGAATCGTTTGATTTCTTCACAGAATCGTCCAGCGAGGTGTCGGAAGAGGCAGTTCTGTTACCGAATATTTTAATCCCTTGTACAAGGTGTCATGATGTTATTAACATATGTCGCCTGCCATGTCACCGGAATTTGCACTGCGCGTTACAAACACTCAAGTACGCACAGGATCAGAGGCCAAAAAACATCAGCGCTTTGGTCAGGCGAAGGAAACTATTGATAAAACAGCAACAAGATGCCAGTTCAAAAAGACGACAAGATCCCTTTGGTGACAAGCATTTGCATAAATTAAACACGGCGTTTGAGTTCCTAAGAACAGAACTTCAAGGAACCACAGATTTGCGATATCTTAGTGAAAGGGTAATTGAAGGTTGGTGCAATTCAGTAACAGCTAGAGACACTTTGACATAAAATATCTATGCAAGGAAACCAACATCTCAAATCCTGTGTTTTATCATCCGTAAACTTCGGGAGTTGTAATTTATCTCGTGATGATTATTACACGCTGTGAGAAAAAGTGATACAAAGAAAAATCAGACAAGCGTCTTAAATATTATCTTTTCCTAAAATTGTTAACTAATTTGTAAAGTAAATTGATTCCAAATTTTAAGTTAAATCTTCAGATTTCTTAGTTTATACGTACAATACACTGAATTTAGTTTAAACCATGACATTATGTTTGCGTAATTAAGATGATAAAACAAACTGCTCTTTTGACCTTAGCATGATTTTATTTAGGTAAAAAATTTGGAAAATTCTACCATGCCGAGGTTAAACGTGTTAATGACAGATTACGTGTTTACGAGGGAATCAAAACAAAACCAAACACTGTCAACTCTTTCATTAGCACCTTCTTAGGTTTGATTGATGCAAAAGATTGGCAAGAACTTGACATAAGATAGTTGTATAGACATTTGCCTGTTTGCTCTCTCTATTCTCGTTTGAGTTCATTTGCATTTCAATGCCTCGAGTGCAACTGAAGTATTGGCCATTGTTTTTTGAATTTGCAGAAATAAAAGTAACTGGCGAGAGCTTCGATTTGTCTTGCGCAATTGCAGCTGGAGTTTGCGAAGAAGCAAATAAAAGGTGGAAAAACATGGAGGATGTGCACATCCATAAAGACAACTTTTTGAACAACATAAATAGCGCTTTTTTTGCGATCTATGACGGGTACAGCGGTAAAACCACTGCACTTAAGTGCAGTCGACATCTTCACGTGTATTTGAAAGAGGAGCTTGACTCTATTGTAACAAAGACAAACACGAGGCCGTCGAAAAAAGAGGTCTCCTCAGCCTTCCGTTCTTCTTTTGCAAAAACTGAGAAGTTGCTACTCATGTCAGAGGAGGAGCGGTCGCAAAGTAGATGGAGTGGTTGCTCAGCAGTCACATGCGTTTTGACAGATGATATGTGTTTTATCGCAAATGCCGGGAATGTGGGCGCCATTTTGGTAAGAGACAACGATGTTGTTAAAGTACTCACAAACAAGCACGATTTGTACAACAAGAAGGAACGCGAGCGTGTGAAGAAGTCAAGCGGGGTCATAGTGAAGACGGAAAAATGCGCGCTTATAAACGGGGCCCTCAGTGTCACAAGGGGCATTGGGAACATCGGAGATATGGCCTTAAAGAGATGCATTATTAATGAGCCTGACGTCAGGACTATATCCTTAGATCCTACAGATCAGCTTCTAGTTTTAGCTTCTAGTGGATTTTGGAAGATGTTTTCCTACGAAGAAACTATTCATCTTGTCAACGGCTTCTTTGGACAAATAAGAAGGGAGGCGAAACAAAAGATTATTGAAGGAGAAATAGTTGATAGAACTGTGTCTGAAATACACAATGAACATCTGTCTAACGCAGAGTACAGAACAAAGCTTTTTTTTAAGATGGCCGGCGACCAATTTAATGATACATCCTCGCCATCTGTTTTTCCTCCGGACGACGTTGCTGGAGGATTGGCACACAGTAAAAGCGAAGACAACTTGAGTAACTTGATAGCACACTACCAAATTAACCCTTGCGTTGAAACAAACAGAGACACGAGTTCTTTTAACACTAAAGGAGAACCCATTCATACAAGTCACATAACGGATCCCCCGCCTATCGATGACGTCAGTTCCATATATACACGTCATCACCGATTCTCTTTACCAGATTTTAAAATGTTTAATTGGCTCAAAGGCGGCGAAGTAAAAGGATTAACAAGACCGGAAAAAGCGCGTCTTCTAGCAAAGAGTTTGGCAGAGAGGCTTGTTAAGAGCGCGTTGTACGCCGAGTCCATGGACAATATCACAGTCTTTGTTGCTCTTTTACCTGGATTTTCTATGGTTAACTGGCAGATGGTGACACCCGACATCTTGGAAGCTTTAGACGAGTTTATGGCCGATGATGACCTTTTCGAATGACGTAACGTGCCGATGCATGTCCTAGGAGTTGTGTGAAGACCTTGGTTGGACATCCTCAAAAGACCTGAAGTTTATTTTTCCGGTGCAAGCGTGACCTATGACAAGTTAACACAATATTATACTCTCTTGTTTACTTATGTTTGAAGTTGGTCAGGTCAGCTTTGCATGACCGCTGCTTTTGCTTTATATGTTGCATGATCTTGCAGTAAGCTTAGAGTTTTGTTTTATAAATCTCGGTAGAGTACATTCATTTAGGTTGCGTGATTCACTGTTGTCAGTGTTGCAGTCTTTTCCCTTTAGAATAGAGGGAGAAATGTGAGCCAGGGGGAGTTACGGGAAGGCCTGGGGCTCAGCCCACGCTTCTCGAAAGGAAGAAGACTGCTTAGTTAGCAGGCGACATTCACTATTCTCGTTTCTAATCAGGATTTTCCGGTTTCCTATCAGTTTCACCACGTGCAAGTCAAGTTGATTATTGGAGATAGCGAGAATGTTAGCGAGAGAGCGCTATATGTAGGCATGACGTTCATTACTTCGCGGATGCCTGATTCGATTCTCGGATCTGCCAAGAAAGACATCACTACAAGGAATTAAATACGAATGACCATAATGAAAAGAAAATGTAGATCGCTGTAGGAAAGACAATTTGCGATTGAATTCAGGACTTTGTTGAACAAAATTGTTAACAGTCAATAACTGATCCGTGTTGACAAGTTGTTGTTGACATTTATTTAAAGTATTAAAAACAGTTTCAAGGAAAAATGACGCATACAATGTGAAGCATGCATGATTATCATATGGCAGTTTGAAGCACTTGGACGCGACCGTAGTTTGTTACTATTCAAATGAGAGCCTGAGCACTACTTTCCTGCATCATTGCATCATTGCTTTTTTAAATTCCACCTTTTTCTTAATAAACCACACATTAAAGGAAACTCGGTTTACCAGTAGTTATATACATTTTCAGTATATTTTGCAGCGGAAAGTCGATTCATAAAAAACTTCCTGGCCACGAATACCGATGAATCGATGTCCTTAATACTTGTCAAGGCATGTGTAATGTTCCATTGTGTTCCTTTCAGTTGCTTCACAAGTCTATTGATCTTGGCTCTCTCCACATTTTAGATCCGTGTTCACGTCACCTTACACCAAGCTTGTATTCCTCAACAACAGACTCCAGCGTTTCAAATGCATCCAGAAAGTCATTCTAAAGTGATCAAGAGTTACGAACAGATTTAAAACAAATACCACAACCTCATAAGTAAAGCATTTTAGTGGAGCGAGTAGAGTAGTCTGAGGGTAAAAAGAAAGGGTACTGTGCGAGGATAATAAATGACATATTTATTCCAGGCTCATGGTCAAAATAATTTATCACTAACAAGTATTCATATGAAGTAGTCAACAAATGCTATAAGTCTGAAAATTCATTCAGAAAAAAAAACGTGCACACCACATCCTCAGCCATTTCTGAAACTAAACCGCTAGTTAAAAACGTTATTTACCCCATGCGACTCAAAACGGTTCTCGAAATATCCAAAAATACGGGAACGTTTACTTTTTCAGCAAGTTCATGGGTTGCTTTTAACCCTGTTGTTACCTTAGAGCAGCCGTGTTTGGTAAACCAGTGAAGGTAAGCACCTGCACCGTACATCGCTCTTGCCTTCCTCATAACGTCCTCTAAAGTCTCCACAATCTTAGTTGAGTTTAAACACAGAGTAAGAGACTGGGAGTCTTTGGGACCAACAGGGTTATACCGGCCTGTGATATATATATATATATATATGAATATATAAACGTATTATAAACGAAGACGCAGTTAGTACAACGGTATATATATAGTATTTATATAATAAAACCAAATTGTCTTGATACGAGACGTTAGCTGTGGTGTGAAACATTTTGTGAGTGCACGTTTAAGATGCAACAAATGAAGATAATACTACTTTGTACAACACTCATTTCTAAGGAAACTTTGCATGAAATATTCAAATTAGCGGGTGATGCACGCGCTACTTTCTTGTGCAAGCTGATTTTGTGACATGCACAGGACGCGAGAAAGAAATTCTGTTTCTCCAATTCCTTACTCCTGTGTTTTCTTTTGTTTCCATTGAGAAAAGACATGAAAGCGCTGAGAAAGTATTCACTCGACTTGTTAACAACTGAAGTATTGAGAAAAAAAAGCTACTCCCTTAATCTTTAAAATTTTTCCTTGTGATTGGAGAAGCGAAAAAAGTTACTTTGAAAATAAAGGTTACTCACTAATCCAGAAATCAATAGGAAATGGGTTCCAATCCACAAATCCCAGCGAGGTTTTCAGTTTATCTTCAATCTTTGGCCAAACCTCTGTAAAAGAACCATCATGGTCCCCGCGAGCCACAAGCAATGAGGCTAAGGTTGAGAACTGCAGACCGTTTCGATCATATCTTCGAATTGAGTGAATAAGTGACTGAGTAAGGCTCTGCCAAGAAACTTTCGACTTGGCGATGTGATGTACTGTGGCAAACTTCTTTGATGGCTCTGCACAAATTGATCGGAACATTTCCCATGGCTCATTTCCACTTGGTACATCAACTGCTGGTGGAGAATTTTCAGTCTGACGACTATCACCACTCTCGAAAGTTCTCTTCTCGAGAGGGTTTACGATTCCTCTGTAGCGCAAAAGCGCTGAAGCAGTAGATCTGGGTTGTCTTGACATGTCTGTTAAGCTGTCAGTGTCGCTTGAATACGAATATGAACTAAAAATGGAGTCGTTAGACGACATGGATGATGCGGAACCAGGACTACTGCCAAAGACGGCTCTGTGGCGAGTGACTTCAGATTCGTCTTGAGATTCATTAAGGGAAAACGAAAGCTGTTTTGTTATGGTGTCCATTTTATACGATGTTTCTGTACTTTTGTAAAATATTTCGTTTCTTTTTTTGCTGCCGATCGTTTCCTTTGCTCCCCTCTCCTTAAGCTTTCCTTTTAAACGCTTGGGTTTGCTTCCCAAAGGTTGAAGCACTCCAGCAAGGCTCATAGAAATGTATTGGTTCATGTCTTTGAGAGAGATGGAGCCCGATGGGTTTTGTCGTGTTAACAGTCCACTGTGTGCTGCCATATGATGAAGAATGTCATCATTGCTAAACAATAGAACTGCATCAGCATGACTGAAAAGTGAGGGGAAAGACAAGGAAAGTTATCACCTGAATAGATAGTTCATTTACCATAGATAAAACGCTTTGCTGTAAGAGTAGTTTACGGGCTTTCCACAATATAAAAAGAATCCCTTCTTTCCAACCATCTCCCTTTCCAAGAGACATACAAAAGGTCTTTCCCAACAATCATAAATTAAAGCATAATCTTTCTTATGTGCTTCAGAAATTGCAGGCTGGTCCATTTGAAGTATGAACATTAACTGGAAGGCAGATCCATTATCAAAACCATGATCTGCACTTAAGTGAGAAATCAAGCCAGTCAAGTAAGGAAGACTAAACTACTTCTCATACATCGAGGGTACAGATAGTAATTGATTGTGTGTTGTAGGAAAGAATAAAGTATTGCAAAAATAGTGTTTGAGCAGGCCAATATTACTTACCATTGTAATGTTGACAAACTGAGAAGAGAGTTGTAATGTTGGAGAGGACTGTCACCTGCTGAGTGGGGCAATACAGAAACAGACATGACATGAGCCAGAGGGTATGCATCCCTTAAAGTTTCAATCAAGTGAGAACCCAGACCAGACCCAGTGCCACCAGTGAGACTATGAACCACCATAGTGCCTGAAAGAAAAATGCCAATTTTAATATCACTTTCAATTGGTATTAAAGATTAAGAACTTTTCCAACAAATGATCACAGCCTCTTTTTTTAGCATAGGAGAGTGAACAAATGCTGAAAAACTGTAAAGTTCATAACAAGGAAGTATGGCCAGCAAAAAGCTAATCCAAACCTTCCCCTTACTTTTTGCTCCCCAACTTGCCACTTTCCTTTATTAACAATATTCAAAGTATTGAAAACCAAAAAAGAAAGAAACAAAAAAAAACACATGAAAACAGAGGGTTGTAATCTTCATTCCTGAGCCCTTTCAGTAGTTCCATACCTTATTTATGCTGTAATCACTCAAATTTACAGATTCAATATACTTTTACTTTCAGGTATAGTGTAATTGAGGTCCCCTTTTTGACACAGTTGTGAATTTTTATCAGAACTTCAGATAATTATTTCCCATGCTAAACTCAAACCCTGTAAACAATACATTGTGGTCACTTTATGGTGTTCATGATGCATGATCAGCCTAAAAAAATGACACTTCTCCCCTTCCTAAAGCATCTCCGTTAATGGGCAACCAACCCATTTTGTTTAAGTTTATGTAAAGTACATGAGTCAATCTGTGAAAAAGAGTAACTTTGGGTTTGGAAGGTCCAGGTCCAGGTCCAAGCCCTGACTGAGTCATTATGCTGAGTCATTATGTTGTATTCTTGGATATATATATATATATATATATATATATATATATATATATATATTTTATTAGACATTTTGGTGTGTAGTATCATTGAGTACTTTAACCAGCCTGTGGAGCAAGTCAAAATGCAGACAATGAGTAAAACTACTTGGCAATATTAAGCACCAAGACACCCAATAAGTTATTTATTATTCAACTGCTTTATTTTATATCCCTTTCCTATACTGCAGGAAAGGTGAAGCAAATCGAAAAACAGATTTTATTGACAGGTCTTATGTAATGCTCACATTGCACTGTTCCAATGCAGAGTAAGTTTAGTTGCCAACAGAAAGTTTTCAGGGGTGTAAACTGCTTTATCTCACTGAATCAGAAAATGGTTCATGGTTACCTGCATAATTATCACATCTTTCTACTTCTTTCCTCACAATTTCCATAGCCCTGTGTAACAATGAAGTGTCTTCAGTTTCCCCACTGAGACCATGGTACCCTAATGCCCAGTTATTTCCTCGTCCTCTCAGTCCACTGATCATGTTTCCTTCCCTGTACAATTTACTGGATCTTGAATCTTCACGGTAGTTATGTCCAATGACCTTAGACTCACTGTCCACACAGACACACCTCAGCTTGCCATCCCTGTGGCTCAGAGGGTGAGCATCACTCTTGTCAATCAAACGCATAAGTTCGTGACCGACTTGATTTCCACATTGGCCAACTAGAAGCACGATCGATGACATGGAGAAAGGCAGGTTACAGCTTATACCATGTTTTCATCAACTTATCGCAGTCTTCATCACAATTAACATGTCTCAAACAGACTAGAACTACAATTTTCAGCACAATTCAACGAACTACTTTGAGAGTTGCTTGGGCGACTTTCTAATTGAAAAATAGCCTGTTGAATTTTTATGTTCATCTCATTACGTTTGGATTCATTTCATTTCTTCAATTCACTGGATCAACGCTTCTCCCACCGTATGTTAGCTGTGAGGGGTAGCTCGATCATTCACGCAGGCGTATACTACGATCTTTCTTGGCAGCGGTTTATCTTTTAAGCCAAAACAAGATTTTGCGAACTCATCTTTTGTAAGGCTGTTCCCTAGTTTTCTTATTTCTTTCGCCCTCTCCGTTGAAAGAGAACGGTGCTATGGCAGAACAAAACCCTCATTTTAATAGAATTTTAGATCAAATCAGAGACAAATTACGTGCTGAAAACATAAAGCTGTGGCTTCCACCTTACACTGTCTCAAACGACCTTCCAGGAATCTACCCGGAGGTAAATATCTTAGTGAAAGTCCGATATTACAGACTACGCTTGACGCGTTTTAGCTTTAAATCAGTTCATCTTTATTATCACTGGACTGATATCTCATGTGGTAGCTTATTTCAGTTTGCAAAAATATGTTAGAAACAGATGACCTATGGGGAAGAATGAATTGTACATTGTGGTTCAGTTTTAATTAAATTAGTTTTGGCTTGAATATTTCTTTATCTTGCATTCAAACTCATCATGGCGCATCATCATTTACCAAAAATAAAAGAAGACGAGAAAAAAGGGACATATTTGAACCAATGAATGCGTGCTTGAAGTAGAGGGCATACTTTCTAAACCAATCATATTCTCTGTTAAATTTAGTGGGCCACACAGAGAAATACAGCCTGCTAAATTGACCAATCATAGTTCATGTACTTACTGAGGAATTAAATTAAAGATCATATTATCTACTGGATAGCAGAATATGGATTGCTTAATGCAATACCTGCCATTCATGTAGTGTCTTTAATTATCCCATTCATGTAGTGTCTTTAATTATCCCATTCCTCTTAGGCAACTGGGGTAAATTTGGTTTTCAGGTGACAGAGTATCTCTTATTTGTAATATAAATTGATGATAAGCTGACACTTTGAAAAAGCTTACCATCTCTGTTTTAAAAAAAAAAACTTACCATCTCTACTATTTCTATCTAAAAACTTTGGAAAAATTGTTTTCTTTTCTTTTATAGGAATTAATAAACCAGTATTCTGAAGCTCTAAATGAATCTGCAGAAGAAATTTTTGAAGCACTAGAACAGTTAAGAATTCGTGCTGTGACAAAGCTTCAGACAGAGCAAAGGTTTGCTAAATCAGGAATTGCAACCATCAAGGTTCACTTTACTGGCAGTGTTCCTCAAGGGATAAACAACAGATTGCAAATACAAACTGGTTTACATGTTACAGGGGAAGATTTTAGAAGAAGGTATATGTGTTTTTAATTTACAAATTTCATTACGTGTTACAAGCAAATCTGGGTTTAAGTTGATTCCAATACTCAATTAATTAATACATGTTTTTGATATGTTATTTTTCCTTTCAGCTTGAAAAAAGAAACTGGTCTGGATGCTGAAAAAATGAAACTTATATGTAAAGGACATGTTATATGTGATGGTGTGTTGAAACAAAAGTATAGCTCATAATTACTGAGCACAGTATGATTTAAACTTGCTGCTTGTTTTTGGATTATAGAGTTACATGAGTTAATTCCGATTTTCTAGGAACCTCCTGAGCTAGACAGGTCTTTCATTAGAGTGCCAAATATTTAATACAGGAAATTATGCATCAAGAGTATTTCCAGGAGGTCACCTTCAAAAAGAAGTTTCCAATTAGTGCAGGAAATTATTATGTATTTTTTTTTTCATTAGCTAAGGATAGACTTGTAAGCAAGAAGTTTGATCTACTCTTTTTACTAACCCTAATTGTACTCTTGACAATAACTGGAAACAATTATATACTATATTTACTATACTTGTCTAGGTCACTTAATATTTAGAAATGTGCTATCACTTGTGAGATTTCTGATTGGGTATCATTACTGGATGCCTGAGTTGATGTCAAATGCACAAAATCATGTCACTTACCAGTTATGCAGTTGCTAATCTGAGAAGGTTGAAATAATGTAATTTTTAATTTTGACAAACAGTTGTTGTTAGTGATCTGGGTCCTCTGCCAGCATCATTGATTTTCTCATGGGTGAGACCTTGACCTTACTCTCATTGACCGTGTTTTACCCACTGTCTCTTACAACCTGCAAACTTTAGGCTGAAGAAATGTTAGAGGTAACTTGCAAAGGTCTTACTGCTTAGTTATACCCCTTGTGGCTTCTAACCCTTTAACTCTCAGAAGTGATTAACATGTAAGTTCTCCCTAAAATATCCATGCGTTATTCAGCAAACAGGTCAGATAGAAGTTGTTGTCTTGATCCAATACTTAATTCTTGTAACTGATATACACAGAAATGTGTAGTAGTTAGAGAGAAGAATTAAAAATCAGAACTTGGGAGTTAAAGGGTTGAAGGAAGCATCTCGGGGATAAACTATGGTGATGTTGGGTACTTGGCTTCTCTCTCAGCAAATAATGACTTCCACCAATGACTTAGGGCTTCTACCCTTTTTAAACAGACAAATCTCTTGAGAGTCAGAATTTGAAGAACAACAGTCAGATCATGGTGCTTCTGTTGTCAAAGTCAAGTGCTGAAATGGAGAATCAGTGGCAAGGGAAGGATGAGGCAAGAGAAAATGTGTCCAGAACTAGACAAGCTGCTGAGGCATTGTCAAATAGACAAGACAGTGAGTAGTTTGATACAATAGTGAAATCTTGAGGACTTAGATTTACCATGTAATGAGAGAGAACTGAAAGCAAGTATACTTTGCAAAATCTTCTGTAAATGAGTTACATTAGTTCCATGTTATCTTCACTTTATCTGTGAAAGAGGCACTATAGATTTAAACTCTGCAAGTTGCTGTGACTTGAAGTAACCCACCATTTGTCTTAATAAGAAGTTAATTACACTGATGGCAAAGCTTCACTGTATTTATTAAATAAATTCAGTTTCTTTCACATTTTGCCAGATCTTAAAGATGACAGGTTTTTCCTGGAGATTAGTGATCAAGAAGGTCGTCCAATTCAGCTGCCTGAAAATGAAAGAAAGGTAACAAAGAGAACTACCTGAGTAATGGATTAACAATGTTGAAAGCTTGTGAACTTTGTGACCATTTTTGAAATTTTTCATCAATGTTTTAGTAATCTGTCACAATTGCAAAAAAATATTTCATTATTGTCATTATTTTGCAACGTTACTTATTAATTTCTTTTGTTTTTACTGTGCAGGCTTTGGCTCTGGCTCTTACATTGCACGAAAAAGGACGAAGTGTTCTTAAAAAGAGAAACTACCCTGAGGCTCTTTTATTACTCCTTGAGGCAGAAAAGGAATTCAGGTAATGCAAAGTGTAAATGATTATTTTATAAAATTTTTCAGTAATAGATTACAAAATGTGGTAAGAAAAGTTTAAATTAGTGATTATGTGCGATCTATTACTGAACAGAACCACAAGCACATTGAATCTATATACTTTGTTTTAATTAATTTTAAAAGAATAAAAAAATTGTTTATGGTGACATCATTTATGGGTCTGTCCTCCAGTTAATCATAAGTAAGAACTAATTAAAATGCACAAGTAATTCAGCTCATTGGAAAATGTTTTATAAACACTAAATAATTTTTGAAGCTGGACTTATTTGCTTTGATCATGTTGTGTGATCAAAAATAAAGGTCATGAGATTACATAAAATGATCACCAACTAAAGAAGCTCTTGATTGTTAAACAAATTCTCCTTTACAGCACCTATAGAAAATAGTATGGAAAATAAGCATTTACTTAATTCCATTACAAAAGAATTCTTCTGGGTATAGTTGCATTTATGTATTTTATTTGGGATTGTGGATGATGCTTTTTCATTTGACATTTTCAGTTAGTGGGGAAAGACTGGGATGTGGAAGTTATAACTAAATTCTTTTTAATGCATGTGTTCCACATACAGTCATTGCAGGGCTCAGATTCTTACTGCTGTTGATAATTATGGTATCCTTTGTCTGGACATTGTCTGGTGTTACTTTTGGCTCAAGAGTATTGTTGATCTACCCAATGCAGGTAAGAGATTGATCAGAAATAAAATTGCTTTTTAACAGACACTGCATGACAGTTCTACCACTATACAACTTGAACTAATTTAATTACACTGCACTACTCTTACAACCATAGTGTAGTATTTTGTGTACCACTATTACAGTTTGTATAAGCCTACTAGCATTTTTCTATCACTAATGATGCAATCTGATTGGTTATGCTACTTGCTATCTATTGTGTGATATTTGGTAAGTGTGAGGTTGTAAACAAACTAAAAGAAAAAACATACAGGTAAGCTTGTTTTGTTGCTAAGTACTACTGTCACCACAAAGTAACTATATACCTCTTGCTGATACTAACTGAGTGTAGGTCTGTACTGTTGATTACGGAAAAATATTTTTCAACTCAAATTTATGGCCAAAGCACAACGCACACAGGCCATAAATCTAAGTGGAAAAAAATGAGGTAAAAATTGAATTCAATTGACAATTTATATAGCACATATTGCCAGCCTCCAAGTGCTTTACAATATAAAAAGAGAGGGAAACAAATATTTGTAATTAAGTACATAAAGTACATAAAGTGCTTGAAAATCTCAATTGGCAGCAGTCAGACTAGTCGGCTATTTACACAGCACAGCTAAAGAGTTGAACTCGGGGGGACTGAGAGCAAATTCAGTGAGCAGTAGGGTGAGGGACTTGAACCTGGGCCCACCAGATTACAAATCCAGTACCCTGACCACTTGGCCACACTACCTCCTCCTAGTTACAGTTACAGTAAAGAGCAAGAAAACAAGTCTTTAAAATGCAAGGAGAAGATTTCAATACAAACAAACTTTTTAATTCAGTGGGCCATAACAGTAAAATATGGCCACTAAATTGACCAATAATAGCACACATACTAACTGAGCAATATGATAAAACTAGTGACAATGAAGTACTCTTACCGAATTAAGGATTGATTGGTTGAAAAAATTTTAAGTAAATTTAGCCCTTAAGACTTTCCTAACAATATGTCTTTCATTTTGCACAGGAGAAAAATTAGATTCTTGCAAGGGATTTCATTACTTTAACATCAGTTGTAGTCACAGCTCTGTGATCATAACTTAGATATTCTAAATAACAATGTAAGGCATCTGTGAAAATTGTGTTCCATGGTCTACCGTTGAACAATTCACTGTTTTCCTGTAAAATGATTTTAAGCATTTTAATGAGCAACTTTATCCTTGATATTTTGTTCCAGAGGAAAAATTGAAGAAGTGCAAGGAGTGTTTTGAAAGAAGCTATGGCCAAAACCTTGAGAGGCTGACTGTTGTTAGGGTAATTGTAAACTGGATCATAGTAGATAACAGTAATTTTTCTTTTAAATATGTAGCTAGTAACAACATCCCTCTAGTTTTGAATAGGGACCCTCCCTTGAGGTACCTAAGGTAAATAAGTGCTCCCGGCAGTAAATTGAATTATTACCATATATACTGTTATGACTATAACAGAAAAACTACAGCAGCAATAACAAAAAACCTGCTTCTATGTCCAGGGAAAACTCTTTTTGGGTCATGTTCTTACACTTGACATCAAGCCTTAATTTCTTCTTCAGATAGTTTGTAAACTACTGATTCTCTCCTTTTATTTCTGAGACTTTGGGGGAACCCTGCTAGAAGTATATTAAGTGTTTTAACAATAGAGGGTCAAAAAATGAATGCACTGTGCCGTGTTTGAACAACTCTCCTTAGGGCAAAGACTCTTGTTTTTTGCAGGGCATTTTCCTCCCCTGACTATGTTCTGGGAGAGTATCAAAGTCACTAAGAACCAAAGAATGAAAGCCTTACCCCCTATAAATAAAATTCCTCTTGGAGCCAAGACTCTTTTTCCTTTTTTTTTTTTTTTTTGGGGGGGGGGGGGGGGCTTTTTCCTTTCCTCCACCCCCTCATTATAAACTCTTCAACTCCCAGAAGTTAATTCACAACTCTCCCCACTAGCTTCTAAAACATTTCCTAGTAAATTATTTAGAGAATTTAGTTTTATCTCATCTTGAGGTTAAATTATCAATTTGATATACCGGTATTGCGGTGTTTATTCTCATCCTCTGTTCACTTGACATTGAATAATGATGTCATAAGGAGATAACAAGTAATAATCACATCTGAGTCACAAATGTATGTGCAATCACTCCCACGAACAGGGTAGTAGTGGTGGTGAATTGGCCCTTTTTGTGCGCCTGTATGTGCTGGAGGCTGTTTGTGCATATCATAAAGGAGATATTTTCGGTACAGCAAAATGTTTGGATAAGGTACAGTTTGTCATTTGTAATCTGTGTTACCTCCATCCTCGTTCATTGTTCTTGTATTATTCCGCCTTTTAGATGTTTGTGCCCTTTAGAAAACTAAAGTGTTCGATGGGAGGTAACATTCCTTTAACCAAGCTAAATCAACATGTGTATCTCTTGTCGCGTTGTCAATCTCTGCCCCACGTCAATGGCCTAAAGCAGGGTTAGATCTCGAAATTTCAGGTGGATAGTGCAGTTGTTTATAATAAAGTTTAGGGTAAATACATAGTAACGAGAATTATTCGTGCGAGCGCTCAACAAAGAGTGAAAAAGAAACCGCATTTCTGACCATAAAAATTAACTGTGTCTGTTGTCATCTCCTATGTTGCAGGCGGAAGATTTACAAAGTAAGCTGCATATCAACAAAGATCAATTAAACCAGAGTAAGTTGTTAAGCAACATGAAAGCTTTTTTACTTAGTTTTACCTTTTATCTCAAGTAACTAACGTGCAAACAATCTAGGTATGGTTTTTAGTCAGGTCCATACTAGACACCTGAAAACGCTTCTTTTGTTGAAAGAACTTGAAAAAGAATTGTACCCCGATCAATGATAACAAGTTACCGTATTTCCTCACATAAGTGCCCAGGCACTTACTCAAAATTTTGGCAAAGAGGAGGGGCGCTTATTGGAAGGAGGACGCCTTTTAAGAAATTATTAACATGTACTGATTCCGTTGTAGTTGATGCTTTAAAATTTTTGGATCAAATGGCAACAGATATATGTTTTCCTTGTATCCCTACTTTTTAAGAAAGTGAGGGTGGAGGGGGGGGGGCGGCACACTTCTTCGAGGGAGCCCTTGTTTGATTTTCTTGCCATGGGGGTTGGCGCTTATTCGGGGGAGGGCGCTTATTAGAGCGTAAACGCTTATGCGAGGACAAACAACATCTTATGAAAGCCTTTTTTCTGTCTGCAGTGTTGATGATGGGTTTTACAGAATCTGAAGCTCGTCTCGGTTTAAGAGCTTGCCAAGGGGACACCACCCTGGCTATTGATTATATCACAACGAAGAGACAGGTAAGTTCTCTTTCCGTACAGAAGAGTATGACTTGACTTGAACCCCATTAAACCCACTAAAACGGTACAAGGTATTTGGTATTTAGAGATATCCCGCGGGGTAAGTTACAGTGACGGGAACAGGACCCAACTTTGAGTTGATGGGAAATTCGAGTTAAGCTCATTGCACAGTTGTTCCGAGAAAGGTTGTCATGCTCAGAAGGAAAGGTCTACCAGGTCTAAGTTTAAAGCTTTGTCAAAGAGTAGTAAGTCAAGGTCACTGATTTTGCCTTTTACCAAAAAAATTGAACGTCAAACCTTGCTCTTAGGTAGGGTATTCTAACACAATTTTGGCTTCTGGGCGGGGGCAGGAATTTGAACGAAACAATCCCCAAAAGTTAAAATTCCCGGGGATGTTGCTGGTGGGAATGTTAAAGCTTCGAATCGTTTGACGCATAACCCCCGAGAATTCTTTCAATGGTGCCAGACAGCTTACTAGCACTTATCGATGCAGCTGGGTGGAGAGAGGCGCTGTGAGATTTTTGTGTCTCTTGCCCAAAAACATCGCTCAATGACACGGTCAAGGCCTGAGCCCGTATCTTTTGGATACGAAAACCAGCTAGATAGTTTCTAGGCCACTGCGCGTCAGCTGATAAAGAATCTTTTGAAAGACCCAAAATTATCTCACCTTTCTGTTGAGTAAGAATATAACGCTTTTTTGCCTGGGACCTTTTAACAGGAGAAAAAAGAAAGAAGGAAGAAAGAGGTCGAAGAGAGAAAGAAAAAACGACTGGAAAGAAAATTAGGGAAGACTGGAACAGGAGAATGGTAAGAGACACAACACCGCGGGAACTGTCAACGTAAGCTTGAGGGGGTGGGGTAGGATGGGAGGATGTGAATAATGATCTTGTGACTGGGTGAGTTACAATTTGAGCAAATTACGGGCGCGAACTACGAGCCTTCTAAGTGGGGAGTGGGGGGTGGGGGGGTGGGTAGACGCTGCGGGTTTTGCGACGAGAAAATCTAACTGAGATCTTCAAGTTTTTCCTTTGCAATTTGTTTGAATCATTTATGCCTATAGGTATCCTTTTTTTGTATCCTTTTTTTCTTCGTGCATTATCCAAGGTGGTTTCTGCCTTACCGAACTAAAAAGTTTTCTCGTTAAAAATGATTTTTCGCGTCACTTAGACATAAAATCATGGATAATCTTTGAAAAAGGTGTTTCAAAGTAACAGTTTACTCCTGAGGAGATCAGAATTTGAAATTTCGAACAACATTCAACGATAGTTTGCAGCCAAGCCTGCGATGAATCTCTCAAAGCTCAGTGGTAGAGCATACGAAGTACTAATCGGAAGGTCGTAGGTTCGAATAGGGTGAACTCTGAGTTCTTTTTTCCGAGTTTGCCTGTTTTGTTCACTGAATAACATCATCTTTCACTTACATAACCAGGCCTCAACTTTACCATCTTCATTCACATCACCATTTACATCTTCATTTCATACAAGCATCACATTCGACATTCCTGTCCAGCAGTATGCAAGAAGCTTGTCACCATAGACCCAGTTAAACAGCCAAGCCTGTCACAAGACTCCGATAGCACAGTGGCAGAGCATGCGCAGAACTAATCAGAAGGTCATAGGTTCGACTCCTGTTGGGAGCACTCGGATTTTTTTTCTGCGGAAATCCTGTGTCATTCATTAAGTAACATCTTTTAATATTTTTTCTGTTTGTACAGGGTCAATGTAGATTCATATAAATTCCTTGTGGAGATGGGTTTTTCCAGCTGCATGGCCACGCAGGCCTTGAAACAGGCGAACAATGATATCAATAATGCGCTGCAGGTAAGGCAACCCATGTCCTTTTCAGTAGTAGAGAGTTTTGGCACGACAAGAAAAGATTAGAGGCTAAGTTGTCTCTTAAATTAGGGTTTGAGAACAATATGCATTGATCGATTCGAAGCTTCAACACCCCCCTTCCTTCCTCAAACCGGGAAACCCACAGGCATTTGACCCTGTTTCGTATCTCACTGGGAGGGAATTTGAACCTTGCCTGGTTGGGGTGGGAAATTTTAATCGGAGCTGTTACGTCTGCCCGGCGGAATACACGTTTTATCTTTTAATATGGGGATATCTAAAGCAAACAGTTCACTTTCGCGAGCAGTTGACTCTGAAGAATAGGTCAACAAGAAAGCCACGGTCCCTGTCCCGCCTTTTACGCAAAAAAGAAACAATCAAATCCGGCACTCGGGTAGGGATTTCGAACACAATTTTGGTCCCCGGGACGGGATTTGAACGAACCAACCTGCAAAAGTTCAAATGTCAAGGGGGATGTTGAAGCTTCAAATTGATCGACGCATTTAGTTCCGTATTAATTTGATGTTGACTAACGGTTATTTCTGATCTGAATGAATATTTACAGGCTCTTCAAGATAATCCAGATTTACTTGATATTCCTGGCAAAAGGTGAGGATATAACAATGCTTTTAATTTCCAAAGCATACAAAACACGTCGATGCCAATTGACCTTATTGATTCGGATTCTGGTCTACCCATTGCGTTAGTGAGTTACTTACTCATTCTTATGATTGTTAAACGAATTCTCCCAATCATCACCCGAGGAAATGTATAGAGAACAGTAGGGAGAATGTGCATAATGATGTTAAGTTGGAAAGTGTTAAGAGATAAATAGCCGCTTTCGTGGTGTAGCCAAACTTTCATTGCGAGCGAACCGTGTGCGCTGCCGCTATAATGTTATGAAACAGCACAAGGTACTTCACTAACTCACTAACTGTTCGTCAGGTCCAGATCATCCTTCAGTGAATCTGATCTCTCTGATGAACAAGTTGCTCAGGTGAGTGGATTATAGTTCAATCATTGTTTATCGATAAAAAAAATGATTGAATCAAATATTGCCTTTACAATGAGCGGCAATGATTAACTTCACACTGTCTACTTAAAGCCGTTTGACACCTACATTGGGATATCGGCGCTAACTGTAAACAAGAGAGTTTTCTACAGGGGCAATTTTTCTACAGGGCTCTTTTAAGGATTGTCTAGGAATAGAAAGTAAAATCAGCGTTCATTTTCGCCGTTTGCTACCAGTTGCCGTAGACGTCATTCCTGAACTCGTAAACTGCCTTGAATAGAAGAAACCAAATAGCAACGAAAATGACTAAGGATGGAAAAGATGAAACCTTTAACCCCTAAGAATGACTAGCATCTAATTTCTCCCTAAATTATCAGCCCTAAATCACATTAAGGTCACGCCGAGAATGAAGGTAGTGATCACTAACTTGAAAAGTTCTTCATTGTTAAACGAATTCTCCTTGTCAACACCGAAGGAAATGTATAGAGAACAGTATGGAGAATATGCATACTAATATTAGGGTGTACAGAGTTAACGAGGGTTGAAAATGACGAACTCGAACATTAAGCCCGAATTTTTCAAAATGTGAAAATAATAACGTAGCGATCTTAAAGGCCATAATGAAACCTTTGCGCCCTTGTACAACGACCTTCCAATCTGATTAAATCATTCAAATCTCTGATATTTTTTCTCGTTTTCTAGGTCTTGTCCATGGGTTTCCCAGTCGAGTCTAGTAAGGAAGCCCTAAAGCGTTGTCTTGGTGATGTTCAGCAAGCTATAAATATGTTGCTGTCGACCGAAGGAGTTCTTCCTTCCTTATCACTACAGGCTGTTCAAGGTACTACTCATTAAAAAACATTTGCATTGGCTGATATTTCAAGGAGCAGATGCTATTTAACTGAGTTTTAACCGTCTAGTGTAAGAACTTGCCTAAGGAGCTGTCGCATTCAATATCGAATCGCGTACTAAAAAACCAGCCACTTACAAGACTGATCACTTACTTTTTATTGACTGTCTTAGCTTTATAAATTTGTCGGGCACAGTTGCGTGAATCGATAAGAAATCGCCCCTAACTGTTGCTCCTCGTCAATTAGTTTGTATCAATGTTTAATTCTCTACAAATAATTAGAGTCTGTCTCTAGATCAAGGGTGGAGGTAAAGAGTCACTTAGCTACTCAGGCATAGATGTCAGAAATGAACGACATTATTTTTAAAATTAAGGAATCATCAAGATCGAGCCGGTTTGCTTTCTGCGCCATTGCGCATAACCTTGGAGGTAATTTACCTGAATCAGCCATTGCAAGACATATCGTTCGTCCAGTCGAATTCTTTCAGGAAATATCTTCTACGCACCCTAACTTAAAGAGTACATGGGAAGAAAAACTCAGGCTTCAAGAGTAGCGCTCAGAGGTTACGCTTTTTCAGCTTGTGTTTTTATCGTCTTGATGAAAGATGTCATGACGTCATCATATTGAACACCACAAACCACAGGCCGCCAAACATCATACATCAAATTTCACCACAGAAACACTAACCAATCGGCTGAAGTTTTCAAATTAGTCGCGCCGCAGGAACGTACACTAAAATTAGATTTTAAAAAATATCATTGGAAGAGGGGTATGTATGGGGGGTAAGTTCTATTAGTTGATGTTCTCTTGGTTATGTTATGATAAGTCTGGAAGCGTAAATTTACGGATTCTGGAACGGCTTTGGAAGTAGCGAGGAAAAAATGCGATCGCTTGGCGACAGTTTTCCTAAATTTAAAGATAGGGGTAACATTCCTAAAATTACGAGATTTTTATAGTTTTGGTAAGTAATAAACATTGTTCACGTTCGACCATGAAATGACGGCTAAAGGAAATATGCAAACACATTGAAGACAGTTATCTATTAGTAACACCAATCTAGGTTTTTTAAAAAAGGTTTTAAAGTTGAAACGTTAATGGAAAGTTTGTTCGTGTGATGTAGTGCTAACGAACAGCTTTTTTTGTCATTCATAAGTTGCTAAAAGGAAGGAATGAACTGTTTATCATGAAAACGGAAACAATTGAGGTATCAATATTTTTCAAGTTTATCTTTTCTCTAAAACATCTCTGAAAGGGAACGTGTCCAGCTACTTGGTTCCGTAAATCAAGAGAAGTTTTATTCGATTATGGCTTTAAGAGAAAAGATCTCCACGAATTTGAAGGATACTGAATAGAAGCGATAGACAGGAAGCTATCTTTCTGTTTATTCGAATATGCATTGAACATGCAAACAATTTCATGCAGCCTAGAGTTCGTCTATTGTAACTGATTCTGCTCAAATTTGAACAGACTATTTCTTGTAAGAGATCAGTCACGCTTAGAGCCACTTTGGCAAAATCGGTTTTCTTTCAACTCCCTTACAGACTCTGAATTTGTTTACTAATCTCGTTTATTACGCAACCCGATCCTCCTCCGCTACCATGGCGCTGTTCAGTATCGCGCTTTGTTTTACGAACCCAACATCTGGAACAGCTACATTTAAAACTTCAGTACTTTTTTCAGCATTTCGGGGATGTCCGCCAATGGTCGTTTTAACTTTAATATAAGAAGCGCAAAATTGGGGTAATTAGCGAGTGCGTTTGTTTTAACATATTAAGGTATATGTAAGGTTTTCAATCGTAGAATTAATAACTTTGTTTATGTGACTTTATACAGCTGGTACAACTGGAAATGCAATTATTGCAAAAACGAACGAATGGTTAATAATGTTTTATGTTCATGGACTAAAAGGCTTGTTTAGCTATTCTTTTTTTGGAGTACAGACATTCTACCAATATAATTTTTAGTAATTCTGAAATTTTTTATCGGTTCTTTGGGATGTATATGGTCAACGCGAGTGAGTGAGGAGCCTTTACAACGAAAGAATACCTTATGATTTAAAGAAAAATGATAACATGTTTACTTAAAGTAATTATATCAAAGATCCTTCCTGCTTGCGGCAAATGTTTCGCGTCCTTCCTTCGGTTCAAAATTAACTATCTTCACCGCGACGCCTTCGTCATTGCTGATCGTAGCCGTGTCAACTACTTTTGTCTCACAGCTACCAGATATGAGACACTCACTCTCTACCGAACGAGGTCTCTGTTGTTTAGTTAATAGAGAGAGCGACAGCAAAATTGGAAGCTCTGACGTTCTCAACCACTAGGGGTGGTCTTCTTTTTTTTTTCTTCGCTTCACTCTCGCGACAAAGGTTTTCCTCATTCACCTTGGTGTTTCCAATTTGTGGCAAAAATCCAACTCTCTTATGGAACTCAGACTTTATTCTCTGCCCCATTCGTGTCGCAAATTAAGAACATCCGCTTTATTCGACGACTGAACTAAAAATTTGCTATCTCTTTGTTTACACTTACGAAGCTTTCGGTATTTTAAGAAGTATTTCTTGAAGAATTCCTTAGTTTTTACATTGTCTTTAGGTAATTTTCTTAGGTTTTTTCCTTTTTCTTTATTGTTCCTTTGCTCACAAGTTTACTCTTCTTATGAGCCCAGCTGTTCAACGAGGCTGGTATGGTCTCCGAGCCTCGCCCTGCACCACTCTTTCCTTTATTAAAAATTATGATGTGCTCTCATGATGAAGCATCGTGGCTACTGAGATATTGGTAACCGAACACATAACCAAGATGAATGTTCAATCATGAGACTTTGCCGGCCTTCAAGGTCTCATCAGTGAACGGAGAACATGAGCTGTTCCGTAAACCAAGCAAGCTTAGTGACCTAACTCAGCTTAAGGTGGTTGTACACTCCACTTCACTGTACACGCTTTATCTTCGGTATCTTTGGCATCAGGCTGCGCCACTGTATAGTTCTCCGTTCTTGAAACTTTCCTCTAACTCAATACTCTGCTAGTTGTTGTGTTTTCCGTAGAAAGCTAAATTTACTTCATTTTGGTTAATCGAGAAAAAGAAACTCGACTCTTTTTTGTTGTTTAATTTGCAGGTAAACAGAGTAGTTGTTCTTTATTGCGCAGAGTTAGAAACGTGCGAGTCATTTAGTAAATAGTGCAGTCTAAGACACTATCTGGCATAATTCGGTTTGATTGTTATCCAGACAAGTTTTATCAGAGTTCCTTGAGTATTCTACCTGAATGCTCTTGCAGTACAAAATTCTTTTAAGAGCGGCTCGATAGTCTCTGAAGCGGAGAAAATATATCACAGGATTCACTGCAGAATGCGACAGCGCTAGCAACAACAATCCGTCATGTAAGGCTCCGTGAGATGTCTTGGTTACAGTCTGTCTAGCGATGGTCAGGGGAGCGAAGCAGAGAACAAAAACACCGATTACCAGAGCCATAGTCTTAGCCACTTGTTTCTCCAATGCTTGGCTCTGGTACTGACTTCTTTGAAGTTCGGTTTGACTTCTTCTTTGCCTCCAAACAACGACAAAGATGTGTAAGTAACATGCTGTAACGACAACAGAACAAGTCACAGTTGCCGTTGTTGAAAAAATCGTAATGAAAGCATTGTCGTCGAATGCAGCAACGGCGCCATACATCAACGAACACGTCCAGGTAATGGCAAGAACGATTCGAATGCGCCGTGTTGTGATGTAAAATTTGTGCCTCAAAGGCCTAGAAATCACAACAAAACGCTCAATACTCACCCAGCTTAAGATGAGCAGAGAGGCGCATGAGGACAAAGTAAGAATGACCCTGCGAGAATACAGAACCCCCTGAGATACGCAAATTCCGTGTGTCTTTTGGACTGTCCACACAGAGTTAAGCGGCAGAGCAGCAGCGCAAACCAATAGATCTGCAATAGTGAGGTTTATGATGAAAAGATTTGACACTGAATGCAATCTCGATGAAGAGACGAGAATAAGAACGTTGAAAAAAGTGCCGAGTATGGTGGTGATTATGTTGGCGATGGTGAGAAACACTCCAGTGGTAAAATGGTAGCTGCAACCTCGGTCAGACATAACAGAATAGTTACCATCCATTTGTGATCTCGCTTTTTTTCTTTACAAGGTAATCCTCGATCAAACGATTCAAATCTTTTGCCTCCCAAACCAGAACTGAGATGTTAATGAACCATTTGAGTTTTAATTTAAATAGATGTTAGCAAGTCGCTTCGTAGTTATTGTCGCAAAAAGCAAACAAAAGGTCTTTATTGAAGGAAGTTTTTTTATCCATTAACAAGACAATACCTTCTGTGAATTTTTACTCGCTGCCTTGAAAAAAGAAGTGTTTGAAAATAAACAACCCACGGTTAAACAAGTACCGGAAGGAAAAAGCATTTATTGTCAGAACGTAAAGGCATTCATAAAGATTCCCTTTCAAAAAAGTGATCATTGTTTGTGCTTGCGAAACTGTCAAGCTTAGGTTTTAATCATAACTTATTGCTTTATTAGGAATAAATTTTTGGGATTTTATTTGCAGTTTGAAAGCTGCACTAGCTTTGTTATACAAAGTATATTTGTATAGACTCTTTTGATAAAAAAAAAGTGTATGTGTATTGAAATTGTATGGAGACTGGGTAATGTTGATTGAGCACATGGGAAGGTGATGGAAAAGGTTCTCGGTGTCCAGCATTGAAATGAATTTCATTCCATTTCCAAAGCGCATCAGGATAATGCAGGGTTATTATCCTGTTTCTATTTCCTTGAATGCTTTGATTTTGATTAAAATTTATTTTTCTCTTAACGAAGGGGACTTGAATGATAAACTGGTCTCTTCCACACACAAAATTTTGTTTAAAAAATTAATCATTTTTGTTCAGATGAACAAATGAAGTCTGCATCACACCCGAAGTGTGAAGCTAGAGCTTATGAAGAAAGTTTAAAGAGGATATAAGAAAAGTTAGTTGGTTGTGTGTTTTTTCCATCGAATACGATCATCTGAATACGGGCCAGTTTTTGTTTTTCTCTGAGAACCTAGAAAGGTGATGAATAATCGTCAAATGATAACCTTTGGAACTTTGCTTGTCCCTCAGTATTCGTAAATGTTCGAGAATTCATTTGTGTAGCACAAACGTCGTCCTTTTTGTGTAGTTCCTATTGATGTGGTTTGCTCTTTGATTCCGAATTTGGGGGGCACTTGCCAAAAATTCATTCAGAAATTGTAAACTGCTCAATGCAAAGTGTTGTAAATTAAATGAGAATAGCTTCCTAGGAGGAGAGTTACTCAAAAAAGCCACAGTAATTTACTTCATGCAGGTGTGGTGATGGTATAGCGCTAGGTGTGCATTATATTAGAGACTCCACCTGATAGATAATATAAACTCCAAAGTAATGCTGAATACATGTAATCTCTGTTAGAAATATTTGTTTTTACTGGAACAAGCGAATAAAGTATACATAAATCTCTTTCGTGGGTGGCGAGCAAAATTGCTACTCTCTCAGATCGAGTTAAGGGCCTCCTGAACCTCGTTTTGAGTGAAAAATATCTTACTTTTACATGTGACGTCGAGAAAGACTGTGGAGAAAACAATTAAGTACGCCATTTATGGGGAGATATACTGCCTCACTGATGATTGGTGCGCAAAAACTGCATTGATTGTCTGAATTGCACAAGTGCTGTGTCCATTTATTGTTTATTTCTCTTAGAATGCTTTTACACCCGCTTTTTTTCTTGAAGAGGGTGGAGGAGGGTTGGAAAATATGTGAGATTCTAATAACAGATCAACATTCTAGAGCTCATGGTCGCGCATAGTAGCGTTCCCTCCGATGATTTTTTTCTCTTTCGTGTTTCAGGCAACGGCTCAGAAAGCGAAGATGAAGAGGACCAAGATCCAGATGTTGAAGAAGCTGTTAATGAATTAGTGCCAGTCCTCGCTACTGAAGATGATGAATCTTATTTGAACATGTCACTGGAGGAAGAAACATCTATTATTGTCGAATACAGGACAATGATTTTATCTTCTGGCTACAATGCAAATTCTGCTTCATTTAAATCCTAATTCCGAATAACTCTCTTAAACCTCTCTTTTGATGTTTTATCCAATCGCGGCCTTTATATTGCTAGGTAGAGTAAACGTGAGATTTAAGTTACATGCTTATCTTCGCTTCGATGATAAAAACTTGTATTTAAGCGTGCTGGCCTGAAACCTACTTTTAACATAATAGTGGAGCTCGCAGAGCGTAGCCCCATAATTAAACCAAATAGTAGTAACCCATCAAGCCGGAAAAATTTGGAGTTACGACCCTACGACCGTACAAGATGCTACTTTTAACATGCGTGGTCAACTGTACCGCGGGCACAGCTTTGTCCAGTAGTCTAGTGGCCAGTGCATTTAGCTCCGAGTCGGATGACCCGGGTTCTAGTCCTGGCCGGGGCAAGGCGTTATGCCCTTAAGACATGCGGGAAAAAAATGCGAGCTCTGCTTTTAGGCTTGGCTAAATCTATATATTATGGTCGAACTAATTTAACAAAAAAAAAAAAATTATTACCGAGCTAAACATTTATCATGTTTCTTATACTATTTACAAACATGACACGATCGAAATTGTCGATCTCAGCTATACAGGACGCGTGTCATGTGTGAACTTCGTGGATCAATATTTGTTCCTGGGAAACCGAGCTCGACATCGATACCAACGATGAGTACTTCGTAAGTCTTTGTTAGGAAGTAGGGGAAATGTATTGGAAAGATAAATTATCCCATTCTAACGTTTTTCGTTGAAGCGTTTCTCTTGCTCCAAGATAGGGACGCCTTTCTCTTCGCTCGCGCGCGTTCCGGCTTTCTCTTCAACACTTAGAAGGGTCAGATTCAACAATTTGCATTGAGATATTACTTTAAACTTTAACTGTAATTTTTTAGAAGGGTTTTCATCATTTCACATGAAACAGCTCAAGAAAAAAGCCCCTGATATTGTCATACCGTTAATTGTTCGAGTCAATGTTTTAGCTTTTCTTTCTTTCTTTCTTTCTTTTTTTTTTTTTGGATGCATCCAGGTCATGCGTAGAGCCCTTCTCATCCGCGAATTCGAAAAGATCTGTATTGAAAATGAGGTAAAGCTCGAGTTAAAATCGCATTAGAAATTCTTCTTTTCGTCAGAAAATCTTCTTGGACCAGTGTGGACAGTACACTTAATATACGAACATCTATTCAACGAAGTCATGAATGTAGCTTGATTGTTTCTCGTTCTTCTCGTTACCGAAATTCAAAGTAAAACTGATAGAAACTTAAAAAGGATGTTGCGTATTTAGAAGAACGGATTATTAACTAAATATCGATTGGCTAACACGGCCAAAAAGTCCTGCATGGCTTGCTTAGGGGTTCCAACTCTCCACTGACGCCACATTTGCTCGTCGAGGTAGCATGTCTTCCCTTCTTATCCCCCGGCGTGTTTTCTGGCCCAATGTTCAACTGTTTCAATAGGACTCGATTTCTTGGGTGTGCACCCCAGTGACTGAATTCACGAAGTTGAGTCGATGGACCACTACTTGTTGTGCACTTGTCTACTCTTCGTCCATCTGTCGGTAAGAGGCCCAGTCATCTGAATGCACTTCCGTTCCAGGGCGAACACACCTTGAAATGATGGGATTGAGGGCAGTCATATCCCGTCTTTCCACTACCTGGAATAATGAAATGAATGATATTTACCTGGATAATTTTTGTCCTTTTAATGTCTGTCTCGGGCTTTATCCCAGCTGTGTGCGATTATCATTCACCTGTATGAACTAATTGCTATATTAGAACGATCTGAGTCCTTTTGGTTGTCACATTCCCATCTATTTCGCTTTCGAACAACATATTCCAGAGGATCAAGACTTTGTAAGTAGTTCTAGTATATACTAAAACAATGAGATAATATAGAACAAAAAAAAGATCTTTTTAAAACTCATTTAATCTTGTAACGATTACAATAATTTTTTACACAGTCCCAGGTCCAACAAAGGGCGTGATTAGCCTGGCCTGGAGGTCTCTCGAGCAGACATCCTGTAAGCGCCCACAAATCTTGCTTACCTAGCTTGCATTCAAACCAAGGTGCCTGGAAATTCGTCGCTTAGAGTCCTCGGCAGAGAAAAGAATACACCGTCAGCAGGAGTTTACCAAGTAGAACTCTGGGGAACTCGAAAAAACTGTTTGATCTCGCACTTCTTCTTCTGCATCCTCTGCAGCGCCTGTACAGTGTTGAAAAGAAAAGACCCTTTATCACTTTTGGACATATTGAAATGGCCGGTTTCAACTTTGGTCATATTGAAATGGCCGGTTTCAACTGGTTTGCAGATTTAATGAATAAATTAAATAATATGAAAGTTGTTACAATATTAGATGAAAAAGAAAAGGATTAAAGGGCGTTCGTGCCAATACACACCCACGACAAAAGAGGCACTAAAGCTAGTAATCGATAGTAAGCTCCCTTACAGTTTATTTCATAAGAGCGCCTCTTTCCTTACGTTATTGTTGTTTGATGAAATACGAAGTACATTTGTCTCAGCCCTTTCATTAATGAAATAAAGTACAAAAGATGTACCAAATAAGGAGGGTCCCAATGGGGTGATGGTTCTTGAGATTAAAGGTTAAAATTTTAGCAAGGTTACGTTGGGCGCATCTTAATTGATTGACTTAAAGGTTCTTGTTCCAGAGCCATTGTATAAAATTCACCGGGGGACCTTGCTCTAAGGCGGCATACCAACGTAAGGCCATGTTTTTTTTTTCTCTTTTCCTTTGCAGTTTAGTTAGACAGCGCTTGCGAATACAGTTCTAAATCTCGATGATTCTGCGAGGTTCTCACTTCCTAACTGAGGATACATCACACTAATATGCGTTACTTCTTTTTCACACGGTTGTTGAAAACAAAGAAATAAAACACCACAGTGTGACCTCATTTTGAACAAAAGCAACTTAATTATTCCCTAGTGCAAGGTAAGCGTGATATTAAATAAATAAAAAACGCGCCAAGTGCATTGTTGAGTTGTATGAGCACGCGGGAATTTTTAAGAACACGAGAGAAATGCACCTCTCGAATGTCCTAAAAAATTTCCAAGTACTAATACAACTCAACAATGCTCGCGGTTTTATTTCTCCGTCTATATGAATTTAATCAACTGGAGTAAACCAAATGGATCCTTCTGAGTTGGGTCCTATACTTTGCTATCTGAAGAGGCCTCAAGATGGGGAAAAGAGGAATTAACCACTAGGCCTGTATCATACACAATAATCTGCTTCCTGTTCTTTTGCTTTTTCCTGCAGTAGATAGGTCGAGAAATCATTTCTTGTCGTCTTCCATGACGAATAGAAGATACCTTAGACAAATTCTTTGGCCAAAATATGTCCCTCAGAAAAGATTCCCAAAATTGGATGTAACGTAATCAGGAAATCAATAGGTGGACTAAATAATACAGCTAGATAACACAATGATGTAATCTGATCGAAAGTTGACCATTGCAAAGATACATAACAAAACACATGTACATGCATCTGGGTTATCAGTTCTCATTGTGCAGCGCAAGCCCGTAGAGACTATTGTGACATCGTTACATTTCCCTTCTTTGAATAAACAAACAAAAAACATAATAACAGGAAATCGAAAACTGAAAACGTAAATATAACTTAAAACGGATTAACACTAACTAAAAAATTTCAAAAGTCCAAGATTGTTAGCTCAGCCTCAACACCGGTTTCCTCCTTACAATTCTGCCATTTCTTGTGGAGACAGGTATGGGAACACTTGGTGGAGACGGCTGAAGATCTGGCTGCAGGAACTCTGAAGATCTAACAACTCCATCGCTTCTATTTAAGCCAAGAACGGAAGCACTTTGCAAAGCCGCCTGGGAACCTGGCTGCGAAGCAGCTGGCATCTGCAATGCTGATGTCGAATCTGGGGATTGACCTTTGACCGCACTTTATGTTCATCTGGCATCCCTTGGAAGTTCTTGGGAACTTTATTAGGATGTGAAAAATTAGAGTCTACTATCTCCTTTGCAAACTATAGGGAGCGTAAGGCTACCTGACCACCAGCTTGCGCTTTAAACCATTTTGACTGACATGGGTAAGGGTCGAATCTACACCACATCTCCGACTCTGTGTGGTGGCAGCTCCTTAGCTCCTCTGTCCTTGTTGTAATTTGAGTTTCACATCAGGAATACGTGCAGGGAAGTGCGGGTTCTGAGTGGATGAGACGCTGTGAAGGAATGGTGTCCATCCCTGCTGATGGGGTGCTCCTAAAGTTCAGTAGAGACATGTGAGGGTCATGGCCAGTATCGGCAGCTTTCTTCAAGATGTTTTGCAGTTTTAACACTGTTCTCTGCCTTTCCGTTGGACTACGGATATCGTGGCGAAGTTTAATGTGTTCAAACTGATACTCCGCTGCAAACTTCTAAAACTCGTTCAAACTGTGGTCCATTCACAGCATGAAATTATGAATTTACGAATCCGTAAACATGCCGTAAAGTAAGCGTTAAGATCCTCTTTACGCGTCTTAACGAACTTCTTTACACTTTCGTAAAGAATGTCTTTACGCACTGAAAACGATAGTGCGTAAAGATCACGGAGAGAGACTAAAAACGCTATCTTTACGTGCCTTGTAAAAAGTCGTATAGAGAATATTTACGATATTTTATGGCGACTGTAAAGTGATCAGAAAGGCGATCTTTACGCGTTATTAAACTATCGTAAAAGGACAATATTCACATTCCCGTTTGCCATTTTGCGGTTGTCTAGATTTTTTGGCAACATTCCCTTTTTGTTAATCAGACCATAACAAATGTGAGCTCGTGACAACATCAACGTAATGCGCTATCTTAGCGCGTAATGCAAAAAGTCGTATCGAGAACGTTTGCGATAATTTACGCTTTCGTAAAAAGACGCCGTACGTGCCTTTCAAGCATTGACCCATAACAACACCTGTTTTATAAATGGCAATTTATTTTATTGTCATAACTCTTCAACTTGATTTTGTAATTTTTACAGTAACGTAGCAAGAGGTTTATATTATTCAGTCCAGTATAAAAGGGCCTGGCCATTTCTCACGTTTCAATTAAAAATAAACCTTTATTGAAATTTTTGATTTCTAAAAGAAAGTTAAAAACATAAGAAATTGACAAGCAATTTACCAATGTGGTTCATAATATATTTATATTTACGTTTCTTTTCACAAGAGTTAAAGATGCGTACATTTGCGATTTCATGCTGTGATTGTCTGTGGTGATACGGTCCGGAAGCCTATATCTTGCAAGGAACGGCTTTAGTTTGTCAATAACCCCTCTGGTAGTCTTAGATGTCAGCATATCTAACTCGAAGTAATTAG